TTCTACAGGTTAGGTCAGCCTTGATAACGCTGTCACATCTCCCCTTAATCTCTATTCCACGCCAGCCTTTTGCAGTCTAGTGCTGATGGCATATTTTCAGCCATGTCAGGAAATGCCATTTGCTGTTTAAATAATTCACTTGGAAAATCGACCATCTAAGGCTGAAGGACATCTCTTCTAGTACTGCCTTGAACTCGCCTTCTAATTGGTTACACTTTTTGCCCAGTAAGACCATAAGTCTCCATTGATTAATGTGCTTCCAACTTGGAACAACCTTAAGTCTCCACATCCTAGAAATGCCCTTTCAATAAGATTGAAATCTTATTCTTACTCCCAAATTGTAGTCTATTTTTGTCAACTTTCTTTACAGTGAAATAATAATTCTTTTTTTAAAAGCTTATCTGTTTCTTCCACGAGCAAGAGGGATAGACAGACAGACAGAACCCTAACAGGATCTTGATACCACAATCCACCCCCAGTCCTCAGTCAGCCCTGGATCATGGGCAAGTGTGTGCCCAGTGTATTCAGGGAGGTCTCCAGAACTCAACTGGGAACCTTCCTATGAGACCGCCTCACAGAGAAATGCACTTTACTGCTGCACCGTCATTTGGTTGGCACAAACTTGGAAGAATATTTTTAATTTTATTCCTTGACCCTCAGTCACTTTTCAAAGCACTGCAACCTAACTGCAATTTCAACAGCTTTTATTTTTATTTTTATTTTTATTTATTTATTTTTTTTTTTTGCCACAGGGCACATGCACTTGGTGGGGGAGGAAAGAGAGAGAGAGGATAACAGTAAGAGGAACAGTGAGAAATCACCCCCCTCCTGCGGGTGGATAGCCACACCACAATCCCTTTTCTTCCATTCTCCTCCCAAGATTTTGAGCATGTACACACATGTGCCCAGCATGATTTACAAGATGCCAGGTCCAGGACTTGAACTGTGATTAACATGTAGGAGTCCAGCACCTTAACTACCATGCCACCTGCTAGCCCCAATTTCAACCTGTCTTTTTTTTAATCTTTATTTTTAATTAATTAATTAATTTCACATTCATTCACTGAGCAAAGTTCCAGTGAACAAAATGCAATTTCCCATCCAGAATATACTGGGTCACAGTGCACAAAATGCAATTTCCCATCCAGAATATACTGCACAGAGGCTTAATGATACATGTTATCATCAATAATTTTCCATATTTAGTTTCATATGTATCTGTAGATATAGACATATACATGTAGATATATATAGATAAAGATATATATAGCAACTCACTGGTGATTCCTTAATCATCTAAATTAACATCCAACAGTGTTCTCTTTCTAAACTTATTTGTTGTTTCTCCTCAATTTTTCTTTCTCTCTTAAGCCTCTGGACATGAACCTTAACAGTGTTTCCAGGATTCCACCTTCTTTCTCTTTCTCTATTTTACATATTTCCAAGTTTAAAAATTATTACTGGGACCCGTCGATGGAGTGATAGTTATGTCTGTAGATTCTCACATGGCTGACTGTGGTTCGAGTCCTGGACCTGGAGGCTGGAAACTCATGCCAGACATGTTTGCGTGCGTGCCCAAAATCCCAAGAGGAGAACGGAGGAGAAAGGACAATGGCATGGCCATCCCCACTGGGGAGTGATTTCTCATTTTCTGTCTCTTTGCCTCTCCAGTGAGTGCACGTGTCCCTAAAGCAAAAATCTCTCTAAAAAAAAAATTACATGTCCATTGACAATCTTGTAAATCTAGTTCTCTAGGTTTTAATCTAAGTCCCAGATCTAGATTTCTGCCAGCTTATATTTGCATTTGAATATTTATATATCGCATCTAAAAAAATCAGCACATCCAAACCGCTGGTGCCCCTCCTAATGCTATTCTGACTTTGCCTCCCCCACACGGCTTTACTTTCCTAGAGAAAAAGGGCCTCATTAAAAAAAATAATAAGGAAAAATAATGTTTATTTTAAAAATATCTGTAAAAGCTTTTTTCATTTAAAATTATAACAACTGTTCATTAAATAATTTACAGTTTTTTATAGTTTAGCCAATGGGTCAAAGGACTTGATAATTACATAACAGTAAATAAAAAAAAATTCTACTGGCAACTTGAGCCAGTAGAATTATTATTAGACTTTTTAGAATATCTACTTATAAACAATGGGACCTCAACAGATTTATTAATCATAAAACAATGCTATTTATAAATTTTTTTCAAGAATTATTTTTTATTTAACTTTATTTATTTATTCAAATTTCAGTAGAAAGTGTATGTGAGAGAGTGAGCGAGAGATGGAAAGTGAGAAAGCAAGCCACCAGATCAGGGACTCAAACCACAGTCAGCCACGTGGGTGTCCAGCACCCTTAACCACCATGCCACCTGCTGACCCTGCTATTATTTTTATGTAAACTTGTACAGAAAGTGACAGTTTACAGCACCTTTTTAGTATCAAAGTCAGAGTGTCGAAATAGAGAAATGTTTGCATTATCATGGATCCTTGTAACTTCTTGCTATGGTTTGATATGGTCTGCCCCCCAAAGTTTCACGTGCAGGAAGCTTGGTCCCAGCATAATGGTATTGAGAGGTGCTAGGACCTTTAGGAGGGAGGGCCTAGTAGGCTGTGTTTGGATCACAAGACCACCACCCTCATGTGTAAATGAATGCCACCTCACAGGAGGGTGTCACAGGAATGTTTCTATTCCTGCAAGAGCAGGTTGTCATAAAATGCGGGTGCCCACAGGTCACTCTCTCGGCATGTACCTGCCTTCCTCTCTGCTTCCAATGGCCATGCTGTGATGTAGCACCACACATCTGGACTTTCCAGCCCCCAGAATCAAGAGCCAAATAAATCTTTATTCTTATTGAATCACCCAGCCTTAGGTAGGATAATAAACGAAGACATACTCATCTTCTTAAAAGAGTCTCCTAAATTATATCTTAACTTACTTCTCTCACTATATGTCCCACGGATCTTGATGGATGTCAAGTTGTTTAGGAGCTTCTGAAATTCAAAGGGGCTAAGAGCAGGCCTCCAAGGGTAATCTGTTGCTTCATGGAGCCTGAAGTGAAAGAAAGGGTCACATTAGCTCTGTCAGAATAATTCTGTGTGATGGGAGGGCATTTCTTATTTGATTACACCACGAACAATACAACTCTTTGACAATCCAATCAAATCAGAATGCCACTACTGGTTCAACATCACAATTGGGAATGGTAAGGGTAGGGAAGGGTCCAATGTGCAAAGTCACTTTGATTATCTAGGTGTTTCTCTTTAACATACACCGAGAGGCCAGTTAAGTTTAGATACTTCACAATGCTGGGCAATTCTTTCTTTCTTTTTTTTGAGAGGTGTTTTTTTGTTGTTGTTGTTTGTTTGTTTTTGTTTGTTTGTTTGTTTGTTTTTGCTATAGGGCACGTGCGCTCACCAGAAAGACAGAGAGAGATAGAGAGACAGAAAGTGAGAAATCACCCCCCAATGCCAGATGGCCACACCACAATCCCTTCTCCTCCATTCTCCTCTCAGGATCTTGGGCAGGCACGCACATGTGCCCAGCATGAGTTTAAGCTACCAGGTTCAGGACTCAAACCGCAGTTGACTACATGAGAGTCCAGCAACATAGCCATTACGTCAACTGCTGGTCCCCAATGCTGGGCAATTCTGATCTTACCTAAAGACGTACTTCACAGCAGTCTCACTTGGGTAGGAGTTGCCCTGAGCGATCAAGGGGACAGACACTCTTAGGCCGGCTCCCTCTAGCACAAGGTCTTCAGCAGAGAGGCGAGTGTCTCGCCTGTCCACACGAAAGGAGAAGGAAAGGTTCTGACCGTAGCTTAACACCTGCTTGCCCAAGAACTTGGCTGGAATGCAGACACAACGGTAGGCAAGAATGTGAGAATGAGACTTAAATATTAACAGAAGCACACGCGAGTCAGATTGCTTTCTGGCTCTACTTACCAGGAGCAACGAAGTACCTAGGAAAGTAGCTATCTGAGATCACAGCGATGTCTTGCCTCTCAGAGGACCACTCGAGAGATGCTTCGGAGCCATCCCTCTGTTCCACACGCCAGCCATCCTCATCTGCACACGGAATAAACACATGAGCACTGTTACATTGTAAGCATCCTGAAGCCAGGTCCCATGTACACCACAAAAACGTGTAAGATCGTACCTACACAGAAAGTCATCAATAAATGGTTTTGAATACATGGGTCCTGTGACAGTCCTATGTCCTGACCCTCAAGCTGTGTTTTGCTTTAGTATTATTTACATAACATTTGTACGCCAGTAAATTCTAAAACTACAGGTATGTTTTCACTAAAGTAAATGGCCAAGAAAATTCGTGCACATTAAATGACATGAAGTACTGATCTTTCAAAAACTCTCAAGCAGTGACTGATTTAAAAATGAGTATTAAATTGCAAATGTAGTTTCCTAGTTCTAGGGAGCCTGGGGGCGAGGTCTAAATTACCAATGTGAAAGTTGGAGGATATAGAAAAGACACTGTAGCCGTCAGCGTTTGTACAGACGGATGAATGCCCAAAGCAGAAGCAGGGTGTGCAACCCCTTGGATTAGATGGCTCCAGATTGAAAAATCCAGGTTTGCATCTGGAAAACATTAAGACGCAATCAGTTTTTTTTTTTTTTCACTTGAAATAAATGATAACAGAGACAATGCAATATAGCTAGAGAAAGAACACGCCACCTCTCACAATTGAAGCCTTCGACGTTGTCTTTGCAAACACATCTTCCCGTCTCAATGTTACATTCATCAGTGCTGCCAGCAGGGTTACATGAGCATGGCCTGTTCAGTGGAAAACAAAACAAAACAATAAGAGGAGGGGAGGGAAGCAAGAAATCCCACTCTTAAAGTCAACCTTGTGTTTTACATGCTAATAGATTATTTTTAAAGGAATTATTTATTTAATTATATTTATCATTATTATTATTTTAATTTGTCCAGAGAAAGGAAAAGTGAGAAAGCAAACTTCCAGGTCAAGGACTTGAACTGTGGTCAGCCATGTGAGAGTCCAGCAGCACCCTAACCAGCATGCCATCTGCTGGTCTCAATACCTTTTTTTTTTCCTTTTTCTTTTGCTATAGGTGTATGCATTTGCTGGAGAGACAGAGAGAAATAGAAAGAAAGAAAGCAAGACACCATCCCCCCCAGCGGAGATGGCCATGTCACAATCCCTTCTCCTCTTGTTTCTTCCTGCAATCTTTTTTTTTTAATTTATTCATTTATTCATTTATTTTAATTTGACCAAATAGAAAGAGAGAGAGAGAAAGAGGGAAAATGAGAAAGCAAGCCATCAGGTCCAGGATTTGAACCTCAGTCTTCTATGTGGGAGTCCACACCTTAACCACCATGCCTCCTGCTGGTCCCTCTTCCTGGGATCTTGAGCACGCACACACACGCGCCCGGTATGAGTTTCAAGCCACTGGGTTCAGGACTCGAACCACAGTCGGCCAGGGGGGAGTACAGTGCCTAACCACCACACCACCTACCAGCCCCAATACTTAATTTTTAAAGGAATAAAGAAAAAAACAAAATGAACCCTGAAGTCTTTTTTTTTTTTTTAGAGATTTTTGCTATAAGGTGCGTGTGCTCGCCAGACCGACAGAGAGAGACAGAGAGACAGAAAGCGAGAAATCACTCCCCAGGGGGGATGGCCACACCACAATCCTTTCTCCTCCACTCTCCTCTCAGGATCTTGGGCACACACGCACAGGCACCCGGTGTGAGTTTTAAGCCACCGGGTCCAGGACACAAATTGAGGTCAACTACATGGGAGTCCAGCGACATAGCCATTATGCTAACTGCTGGTTCCCCCCGAAGTCATTTTTATATTTAGGTTTGCTTTCAGGCAAGGATGTACATCACAGTTAGATATTTCAAACTCTGCTTACTTCTGTACAAACCCCCAGTGGCTCAACATACAGCTAGTTCCAAATCTTGGTAACAATTACTGTGGGGAGAATGTTCATGCTGCCACCAATAAGCCATGGGATCTATTATTATGAATAAACTATATATGGGTCCACCCCTTCTTCCGGCTTTGAAAGCACCGTACCTGCATCCTGCCTCGGTGAGAGAGTGGAATCCAGGCTGGCAACGGTCACACTTGTCACCCATCACTCCTGGCTTACAGCTGCACCTGCCATAACTGTCACACTGGGTGCTGAGAGAGCCTGTGAGTCAGAGAGTACGGTGTCAGCCACACATCTGGCCAGATACAGAATAAATGACTGCATCAGAGACGGACAGCTGCTAAGCAAGCACAGAGCCTGAGAACCCATATGCAATCTCTAGCTAGAGAGAATCAGAGAAATACAGATGAAATTCTAAATCAGAACTCTCTTAAAATCACACCCTTCTAAGCCATGACATTTTAACTTTCCAGACACGCCCTAAGATGAATTTGCTCGATATTGAAAAACACTTTCCATTCACTCTGCAGCCAGTGATCCGCGGCACATAGGACGGATCATGTCTCTCTGGAAGAACACAAACTCAACGCTCTGGTCTAGAACTTAAGTATATTCAGGCATGAGCAACACGCTTGGTCACACTTGGAGGAGTATAAAGGACCAGAGTTCTGTGCATCTCTGCACAGCCAGCACCATGCTGCAAACAGTTCAGCCCTCCAAAGAGATTAGACTAAACAAAGTCCTTAACAAGGAAGAACGCACAAAGCAGTCAGCCTTTTACAGTCAAAGTTCAAACGGTCTCTAGGATCCTGTTGCTAATTATTTACAGAACCATGACTCAGGCCACCCCCACACTTTCATACACACCAGAAAATCATCTGAAAGTTCAACGTGGTTAAAGACAATGGGGGAGGGGTGTGAGGCAGATCCTGAATTATTTACATGTTATCATCAAGTTTGATGGGTCTTTGATAGGTTCACAGAACACATACAGGTTCACAGAAAATGCATACTATGAAAAAAAAAAAAAAACTATGCATGGATTTCCATTTTTTTTGCACCAAAATAAACTTGGCCTCTCATTCCATTTCTCTATGAACTTTCAGAAGTACTCTCCTCCCCATCTCCATAATCGGCACTGTGAATGCCTAAGAAACAAAGCTCTATTTTCTTGGAATATGGAGAACTCTTATTCTGTCGCTCAGTCCCTTGGCTGACGCGGATCCTTCCTGGCACTTACCGACAGGACTACAGTGGCACGGAGAGCAGGCTTCATTGTTCCCGAGGCGGAAGAAGTTCTCCCGGCACCTCTCGCAGTTGGCGCCATCCGTGTTATCCCGGCAGTTGGTGCAGTGGCCACCATGACCAGTGGAGCGGTAGAGTTCGGGGTCAAAGAAGCACTCCTGCGATCGGCCATTGCAGTCACAGGCTGTCGGCCCAAATATGCATGTTACATCAGATCCACATACTTTTCAATTTTTTTTTCTAGAGGTTTTTGCTACAGGGCGCATGTGCTCACCGGAAAGACAGAGATAGAGAGACAGAAAGTGAGAAATCAGCCCCCCCACCCTCCCCCGCGGAGGGATGGCCACACCACAATCCCTTCTCCTCCATTCTTTTCTCAGGATCTTGGGCACACACACACACGTGCCTGGTGTGAGTTTAAGCCATCAGGCCCAGGACTCGAACTGCAGTTGACTAGATGGGAGTCCAACAACATAGCCATTACGCCAATTGCTGGTCCTCAGATCAATGTACGTTTAAGAACAGCATTGTAAAAGACTCAAAGAAAACAAAACCATAATTTCTCACCTCTCTGTGACAAATAAGTGGTGGCAGAATAAGAATGACCACCAGATGTGTTGTTCATTGTGAACCAAAAAAAAAAAAAAAAGAATATTTTAAAAAATAATTATTTTATTTAACTTTATTTATTTGTTTATTTTAATGTGGCCAGAGAGGAACAGAACGAGAGAGAGAGAAAGAAAGAGAGAAAGCAGGCTGCCAGGTCTGCAACTTGAACCACAGTTGGCCATGTGGGAATTCAGCGCCCTTAACCACACCACCTGCTGCCCCCCAAACAAAGCATATTAATAGAGGGTTTATGTAGACAGATTATCACTTACAAAGAGATGTATATTCCTATAAAAAATATAGCACTATCATAAAATACAAAGAATTCCTGTACTCAGAAAAGAATCTGTCTCCAGGTAATTATTCAAATACAAGTGAAAGCCAAGTCAAATTACAATTTTCCTGAATTTATACCCTTCCTTCCAGTATCAGCTCGAAGAATGAAGTGCCAACTTCCATGCAGACTTCAATGTACCTTAACTTTTGAGGTCACAGAGAACTCAACTATACTGGGTTGTCAGAAAAGTCATGATGCATTTTTGCATAGAAAAATACGTCGTAATTTTCTGACGAGTCAATGTTAAGACACTAATTTACAAATTAAGATTAAATTAGATATCTGGACTGAGGAGTAGCCTGAGACACGTGGGGTTAAAATTAGTGCCTGTGTAGATGGAAGCAGAATTAACAGGCAATCCGGGTTCTCCAGATGCATCTACCAACCTACCGACTAGGGAGCCACAATTCCACCTGAGTCATCCGTTAAGTGACTATACAAGGGGACTTCAAAACATTCATGGGAACTTAGGAAGAAAAAACATCCTGACACTGCTACGCTGTCACAGCAGCCAGAAACTCCACTCCGGGGGGCCTTGCAATGCTGAAGAGGCTGAGGAAAGCAAGCTGACTTAGTTCTGTACAGAAGCCCTTGAGCTACAGTCGTACCCAGCGGGTTTGCTAGTGATGACCTGGTCATGTTTTTGTGTTTCTCGTCATTTCCTGGGTAACCTCAAAACAGGACATCAGTAAGCAGAACACTTCACAGAAACGTGTGTCTTTTCATGGGGAATATCTCCTCTTTGGAGGATTTCATTTTTCTTTTTACAAGCCTTTATCCTGTAGCTTCCAATGGATGTTGCGGGTCGACAGTGGAACTAAACCTGAACCAGCGTTTAGGAGTGCTAGTGAAGGCTGTAAATTTTATTTACAAATCTGGGATTTGTTGAGGGGGAAAAAAGGAATTAAAAAAAATCTGCTTTAGGCATCTCAGTGGAAGTAGGCATGAGTCAAGATACTGGTTCCTCCTCAAGGTTTCTGCCAATAATTTCTACAAGGTTAGTGTGTCCTTTGCTTGTTTCCTTTTTTCTGAGAGTGATAACAACTATTTGTAAGGACATAAGTAAATTACAACTGCCTTACAAGTTTGTTATAATTACATGGCTCCTTTCTCTGAGATTTCATTCTCAGTCTGTTCAGAATAAACCATGACGTTATGGAGGGATAAACAATATATTACCTTTCTCTTTTTATATTCTTCTAGGAATACTAAGATTACTCATCCTCCCAAAGCTCTCTGTGGGAGGGACTGGGAAAATTTTCCTCATTGTTCTCTTTACTAAAATTAAAAAAAAAAATTTAAGAAATAATATTTTTAAAAACAATTATTCATTTATTTAATTCCATCTGCTATTATTATTATTATTTAATTTGACCACAGAGAGACAGAAAGGGTAAGTGAAAAAGCAAGCCACCTGGACCAGGACTCAAACTATGGTCAACAATGCAGGAATCCAGCGCTTTACCCACCACGCCACCCGCCAGCCCCAGAAATAACCTTTGGAATGGCAGTCTTGGTCTAGAACTCATTGCACCTGACACAGGTTCATCAGTGACCTTAGCTGCTTGAGTAAATAAGCACTGGTAGGAAGAAGAAAGAGCAGCAAAGAAGAGAAAGAAAAAGAGTGGCCTCCGCTCGGCTGGTATCTGAAGCCAAGCAGAAGTCCAGCCCTTGCTGATGCTGCTTCCCCTGCGGTACGTGTGTTTGTGAAGGAAGTATCAGCAGCCCAGTACAGCTTTATAGCTGAGTGCCTGCGCCGAGGACTTCCCTCGGACATGCCTGGTGTTTACCACTCTATTCTCTCAAACTATGGACATGGCACATGGAGCGTTTTCCTGCTGAGGAATCAAAGAAAGCACCCCCCCCTCCTTTCGCGTCTGGAAGTCCCCAGGACAACTGAGCAGACTGATGCCCGGGCACTCACGCTGGCATTCGTTGGCACTTTCAGCAGTTGCCCTCCTCCACGGCCGGTCGTTGAAGAAAGGAAGACACTTCTCACAGTCTACGCCATACGTGTTGTGTTTGCAGTTGCACACCAGCTTGCCAAACTCATTCTTCACACACTCGCTCGCATGTCCGTTACATTTACACCTGGGGAGAGAAGAGACACGCTGAAGAATACTCCAGCTAGGTCCCAAAGACCATGCAGAAAGGGTACATACCCAGGAAACTAACAATCTGAGATCTTGAGTTTTTTCATTCAAACATTTAAACTGAGAAACTGAACAAGTAACGATTGCTGAAATGTTTAAGGATGAAGAAAAATTTAACAGAAAAAAAATGAAAAATTTTTTAAAAAGGTAGCTGGCTTGGGACCAGCAGATGGAATAATGGTTACATCATTGGGCTCCCACATGGCCAACCATGGTTTGAGTCCCGAACCCAGAGGCATGAAACTGATGCTGGGCATGTATGCATGCGTGCCCAAGATCCTGAGAGGAGAATGGAGAAGGAGGGACTGTGGCGTGGCCATTGGCCCAAGGGGAGAGTTCTCATTTTCTATCTCTCTGCAAATAAATCCTATAGCAAAAAAATTTTTTCTCAAGGAAAAAAAAATGTAGCTGGTTTTATTTAATAGGGGATGATGGGGCATCAGCCAGACACAACTATGAAGTCCCTGACAATTTCTGCAATGGCAGAAGAAGAGACCTGTGATGACAATTCCTGAAGTCACACATGTGTGTAGAGAGGCTGCAGAATGCCATGGTTAAGACCGGGTTTGAGATCCTTCCCTGTCATTTACCTACATAACTGTGCCTCTGTGCCTCACCTGTAAAACAGGGATGGTGATAATGCCTATTTTGTAGGATTATTGGGAAGATCAAGGAATTGCTTCATTTATGTGTTCAGGATTGCATAGGCACAAAGGAAGTCCATAAATATCAGCAACTGTCTTCCATAATGACTTCAAAGTATTCTGATCTTAAAGTGGCGAGACCTTCAAGACCCCTCACCACCATGAAGATGCCAGGTCATCAAACTGATACTCCACCAGCTGTTTGGGGCAAGAATCTGCCACATACAGGTACATTGTAAACTAAGGATTTGTGGCAATTCCTGTGAATTCTTTTCTTTCCTTTTTTTTTTTTTTTAAGGTTTTTGCCACAGGGCACATGTACTCACTGAAGAGACAGAGAGAGACTATGAGGGGGAAAGTGAGAAATCAGCCCCTGGGGGAAAATGGTCATGCTGCAATCTCTTTTTCTCCTGGATTTTGGACACGTGCCTGGCATCAGTTTCAAACTGTAGCTGGTCATGTGGGAATCCAGCCTTTTAACCACTAAACCACCTACGGGGCCCACTGTGAATCCTAAACTACACTGTGGAGAAGTGGCATTCCCTTCACTTGCTTCCTTAAAGACAGCAATCAGCTCCACACCTTTAGCTACCTTTTAGGACACACTTGAACACTGGAATTACCTAGAGACTGCCAGGATGAGTCCTAAACTTAGATCTCCAGTTCTCATCTTTCTCCTGAGCTCCTATCCTTGACTGTTACATAAATAGGGTATCCTCTATAACGTAAAATTTTACGTGTCTATAACTGGACTCATTGTCTGCCTCAAATGAGCTCATCCTTTTTCTTTATTTTGTTAACGGTACCACCATTTGCCTAATCACTTAACCTTGAAATCGCCTTTGACTAATGTCTTGGTAATTCTTTCTTCATAATATAATGCATCTATATGTTCCTTTCATTTTGTTGTTACCAGTCTAATATCAAGTATTTGCTGCCCAACGCCTAGCCTACAAAGCATCAGAATGGGAATATAAATTCTCTCAACTGTACTCTCTTTTCACTTTGCTTGCATGTTAGTCTTCCTAACTCACTATTTTGATACCACAGCCCTACTCCAAAACAGATGCCTGATTTCTTTTCTTTTTTCTTTTTTCTTTTTTTTTTTTTGCTACAGGGCGCGTGCACTCGCCAGACAGAGACAGAGAGACAGAAAGTGAGAAATCACCCCCCAGGGGGGATGGCCATGCCACAATCCCTTCTCCTCCATTCTGCTCCCGGGATCTTGGGCATGCACGCACACCGCCCGGCGTGAGTTTAAGCCACCGGGTCCGGGATGAGAACCGCGGTCGACTACGTGGGAGTCCAGCGACATAGCCATTACGCTAACTGCTGGTCCCCCTGATTTCTTATAGGTTATAGTTCCTATCAGCTTTCACTGAGTGTCAACCCCATACAAAAAACACTACATGCAAAAATAGTTTTTCTGCTTTTGAGACCTCATAGTCTCAAGGGAGGTAAGTCTAAGGTTTATAGCCTGCCATTTCAGGTTTCAGTCCACCAAACTCTCTGGTTTACAATTCTACAAATTCATGAGAGTTTCCTGTCAAGTAGGTTTATACTCTGCCATCTCTAAGCATTGCTCATGAAGCATACAGCCTCCTAAACCCAGTCCAGATGTCCTCCCTCTTTATCCAATCCCACCTGTTCTTTAAGACCCAGCTAAGACCCCACCTGTTTCTCTAGCCTGGCAGTTCTGTAGTCTTCTTCTTTTTTTAAGAATTATTTAATATTACTTATTCATTTATTTATTTTAATTTGACCAGACACACACACACACACACACACACACAGAGAGAGAGAGAGAGAGAGGAAAAGTGAGAAAGCAAGCTACCAGGTCCGGGACTCAAACCGTGGTCGGCCACGTGGGAGTGTCTAGCACCTTAACCACCACGCCACTTGCTGACCCTCTGTTATTCTTCATATATGACATTTTACTGCTGCTTCTTTTTATTTAAAATGTGACTATGGTAGTATTTAAGTTTCCACAAATTCATATACAGCCTGCCATTCATCTGTATGATCCAGAGAGGCAGGATCTCTTCAGTAGAAAAAGGTTAATCTTACCCTTCCTGGGGTTTTCTCAGTGCCTACCCTGAAAATTTGCACTTAATGGTCAGTAAGAACATTGATTGTGTTCATTTGACAAGGCTTTGGAAAGCCTAATGGCTTAGTTTCCATAATAATTATTTTTTGGTGGGGAGAGACTTTTGCTATAGGGTATGTACGCTCACCGGAGAGACAGAGAGATAGAAAGCAAGAAATAACTCCCCCCAGGGGGAATAGCCACACCACCATTCCTTCTTCTCCATCATCCTCTTGGGATCTTGAGCAGCACGCACATGTGCCCAGCTTGAGTTTTAAGTCACCAGGTCCAGGACTCAAACCGCGGTCAGCTATGTGGGCCTCCAGCAATGCAACCATTATGCCATTTGCAGGTCCCAGTTTCCTGAGTAATTTGATAGGAATAATATCCTACATTGCTGCCCATCTTTCCAAGTAGGCATGATCACGCCCCAAAGACTGCTGCTCTGCTGCTGGTGAAGAAAAAGCCTAACAAGGGTACTCTCAGGTGGAGTTGTAAACCATCTGCTCTGTTTGCTTCTACATCAAAGCTCCGGTCCCTCTCAAGGCTGTTTTAAAGGTTTCTTACCTGCCACCCACAGCAAAATCAGAGATCGCATAATAGTAGGACTTGAGAACTTTGGGGTCGTTGAATACTTCATCCCCAAAAGTGTTCAGGCGATTGAGAGTGACTCTGATGTCAGTGGCAGTCACCCATTCCTGTCAGAAAACAAACACAAAATGAAACATGAAAGAGAAGCCAATGGACCAAAGAGCAGAGACACCAAAGAGACAAACTTTCTTTTCTTTGAGAGAGAGATTTTTGCTATAAGGTGTGTGCGTTCACTGGAGAGACAGAAAGAGACAGAGAGAAGTCACCCCCCAGGGGGAATGGCCATACTACAATCCCTTTTCCATTCTCCTCTCAGGATTCTGGGCTCATATGCCCGGCATGAATTTCAAGTGGCCAGGTCCAGGACTAAAACCTTGGTCAAACGTGGGAATTCAAGGCCTTAACCACTATACCACCTGCTGGCTCCAAGAGACAAAACTTTCTGAAGAGCTAATCCATGGGGTCTTCAATAAGTTCACAGAAAATGCAAACTATGAACAATGCAAAAGTTTTAGCACCAAAATAAACTTGTATTTTAATTCCTATTCTCCCACAAACTATTGATAGTCATCCTTTATATCATCATGTAACTGTACCCTCTTTTAACACTAAATCTATTATAATCCTCAGTAGTAACTGTACCCTTTTTTTAACACTAAATCTATTATAATCCTCAGTAATTCCTTCGATATCTTACTATTTGTCTCCTTGACTCCTCCCTTTTTGATCCAAGTTGTTACTTAACCACACAGAGTTCTGAAAAGCGAGAACACTAATAGTTTTCTCTAAGGATGCTGAGCAGCTTGCAGGGAATACTTAAGTGCCTGGCACACATCAGGTACTCAGCACACATGCCCCTTATTCCCAACCCGAATCCAGACAGACACCAGCTCAGAGCTCACAGAGATGTGGACCCCTCCCCACAGACCGAGTCCACACTGACGGATCAAGTACAGAGTAATCGCTATGCTGGCCTGAGCCAATCAGCTGTAGTCTGTGTGTGTGTCTTGACCCTCCCCACAATATCACCTTGTCTGTGAGGCCTTCCCTGCTCACCCTAAAATGGGACCTCCTCCAATCCTGTTGCCCTTTCTTGATTTATACTGTCAGTTTCCATAAGCCCCTGCCCCTATCACTGGATTGTACCATGAGGGCAGGAACTTTCTGTTTTTCACTGCCATTTCCCTAGTGTCAGCATTGGATTGTACCGTGAGGGCAGGAACTTTGTTTTTCACTGCCATTTCCCTAGTGTCAGCATGTGGTATGTGTGAAATAATCTCTGTTGAGTGGCGGATGAATCTGAAGAGACCACAGCTGAGCAAGGTGGTAGGTGGCCTGTGACAGCAGTAGACAAGAACGAAGGCTGCACAGTTCTGCCTAGGCTTTACGAAGTCTATGCTCTTAGAATAAATGTCCATTCATTGAATTAATTTTAGCCAGATGTACACGCGTGTGGTAGATGGTCACAATACTGATCCCAATGAACCATGTCTACCAGTACCCACACTGTCGCATCCTTTCCCACGATAACCCTAGACTAGGCGTGTGACTAGCTTTGGGGAGGGAACATCAGCAAATGTGCATCAATGGGGCTTGAGTCCCTGCGCGCGGGGACTTGCCCTCGTGGGATACTTCCCCCATCATGTGAAGAAGCCTGGTCTAGCCTCCTGAGCCTGGAAGACCACAGGGAGAGAGGGACTCAGACCTCCAGGGACCTGCCAGGTGAGGGACCCAGGCAAATGCAGAATCATGAGAAATAATCAATCATGCTTGTTTAAAACCAGTTTGAGGGTGGTATTTTGCATACAAATGACACATGAGTGAAATGCTACCAGCAGGTGGTGGTATGCTTCTAACATGCATGTGGCATGTATGTTACGTGGGTGATACATAAGTGCGGTATGCCTATGATATGTGACTGAGATACTTGAGAAATGTTGGCATGCCTTGTCATACTTGTGACATGTGAACGACATGGTTCTGGCATGTACGTGTCATATGGTCTACAAGCTTTAGATATGCACGTGACCTGTGTGAGATGCTGCTGACACGCCTGTGTCATGTAAGTGATATATGTGTCACATGCTTCTAACATGAATGACATGCTTGCATCATGTGAGTGACCTATTTGATACATATGTATGTGACATGCCAACATGTGTCACATGGTTGTTACACGGGCATGACATGTATATGAGAGCCAGCTGCCTTCACCACCAGCTGGCCCCCCACAACTGTAGACGTGACACTCTTTACTACTGTCTTCTCCAGGACAGGGAAGCACCCCAAGATGGCAAAGTTGTGCTGGCTATCAGCTGAGAGAGCCTTTGTAGGCCACTCTCTCCCGGGAACTCCCCCAGTCTTCTACATTGTCTTCCATCAAAATCAGCTACTCTCTGCCATTTATTCTGAACACGCCTAATCTCCATCGCAAGAAACACTTTTCTGGAAGGCCTTAGCAAACGTTCTCACTGCTCCCTATAGCCTCAGTTTACCAAGGGCTTTCACATTCACAATCTCCCAGCCGCCTACAAAAATACACAGGAGGGAACTGGGCCCACAGAGAAATATATCCTCATCTCTTGCCACTGTCCAAAACAATACAGACCAAATTAGAAAAAGAGTCCTTGACTACTGAGATAAATTCCAGTGAGAAAGAAAAAGAAGACACAAAGTTAGGAAAGTCCCCCAAAACAGGAGGGATTTTCTACTCAGAAATCACAACAGTGTTTGCAAATCCATATCTGTCCCCTCTCGCCTTAGTCACTTAGGCTGGCCCCACTTAAATGGTCACTTCCCCATGATGGCAGCATCTCCAATTCTGTGCTAACGTGCTGAGCAGGGCCCGAGGCTCACGGTCTTTCCATAATCATACTGCCAGGACATAGGGAAAGTTCACAGAAATCTGAGCAATCCAGGAGAGATTCCATAATACGGTGCATAAGCAACAGTCACACAGAAGTCATGAGGAAAAAGAAATCTTTAATTCCGTTCATAAAAAAATAAAAGTTTCTATCATAATGCTTCAGCACAATACTGTAGGTAACTAAATGAACATCCTGCCACTAACACCTGTCCCTTCCAGGATAGGTTTCTGAATGATTAGTAGCAGCCAGACAAACTCGGTCAAAATTACCTTATATAATGATGGAGGAAGGTGGCATTCTTAAATATCTGCTTCAACTGTTTCCTCTGGATAGTTTTTTAAAACACTTTTTATGGGCCAGTCAGTAGTGTGGTGGTTAGGGTAGCTGGATCCCACATGGCTGACTTTGCAGTTCAAATCCTGGACCTGGCAGCTTGAAAATCACACCAGGCATGTGTGTGTGCATGCCCAAAATCCTGAGAAGAGAATGGAGGAGAAGGGATTGCAGCATGGCCATCCACCCACAGGGGTGATTTCTCACTTCTCTCTACCTCTCTCTTCCTCTGTGTCTGGCAAGCACACATGTCTCTTAGCATGCATGCATTAACAAATAAACAAATAAATATGGTATTTTTAAATTTGCCAAATCAAAGAAGAGGTAAGAAAGAACACAAGAAAACTGATTATAAGATCAAGTGCCATCTTCAAAAGATGAGGAGCAAAATCTTTCCACCTCAAGTACAGGAATCAAAGTTAAAATTGTTGAACTTTTAAAAACATCTATAAAGTTTATATCCCAGGATCCATGTGCATGAAAAAAAAAAAAACATCAACCAGGAAGTAGGAGTAAAACTATGTTCCTCCACTTTTTTATAAATAAAAAAAATTTTTTAAAGATTTATTTAATTCCATTTGTTATTATTATTATTATTATTATTTTAAATTTGACCAGAGAGAGACAGAGAAAGAAAGAGAAAGTGAGAAAGCAAGCTGCCAGATCCAGAACTCAAACCATGGTCGGCCATGTGGGAATCCGGTGCTTTTAAACACCACGTCACCTCCCAGGACCCCTATAAGTAAAAATTTTAAGAGTATTTATTTATTTCTGAGTGAAGGAGAGACAGAGAGAGGTACAGCTCCCCCAACAGGGTCTCGAGGCCATGATCCACCCCCAGCCTGAGACTAAACCATGGACAAGCCAGTGTCTGGCGTACTCGGGTTTCTGGATGTGAATTGCCAGTCTTGCCATGTGACTCTGCTCACAGAATGCTGCAGTCGCCTACGGCACCACTGCCCAGCCCTCCTTCGGTTATTACCAGTGCCCGGCAGGGCAGGCTGCAGTCTGGCTGTTTTGCTGAAGGAGCTTCTGCTCTGACCCAACCCACTACCTCACCTTCCTCGCTTGTGTGTGGTACAGCTAACGGGCTCCCGAGCTCAGCTGTGGCGCCTACCTGCAGCACAGGGCTGTTGTCGAAGTTGTAGGCACTGGGCCTTCCTTCCAGCGTGGAGAAGGCCACATTGCCCCCGGTGAGGGGGGAAATGTCACTGAACTCATCCGTGCACAGCGCCTGCTGTTCATCCCCGCCTGTCCGGATGAAGCCGCGGTTGGCCTTGGAGTAGGTGTTCTCGCAGGAGCCGCTGTAGTACTGGTAAGGGACCCAGGGCCCGTCCTCTCGCGTGCGCTTGTAAATGGCGAAGCTCTCCGGGCGGCTGGTGTGGAACTTGAGGCGCACGTAGGTGATGTCGAAAGCTTTTCCTGTGGGACAGACAGACCGCAGTTCCTGAGCCGTATGTATGAAGAGCTGTCCCCTCTATTCCCGGTCTTTTGGAACTTGGCAGAGAATACTAGTTGCCCTGTGCACCTTAGACCGAGAGCATCCCAGAACACAGTAGTGGCTGTGCCTAACACCACCCTAGAACCAGACACGGTGCACATTTCCTCACAAAAGAACAAATCATCAGGGATTCACAGGTTGGCTCATAAAGAAAGGCCTTTTCTGGCGTGCACTGATGAAATTTTGTTTGCAATAAAAACAGGTAGTTCAGATCCGTGATGTACTTTACCATTACATTAAAAAAAAAAAAAAACAGAAAAACAAAAGACAAACAAAAAAACAAACAAAATTGGAACAAAAAGCACACTTCTTTTTTTTTTATTTTTATGAAGCTTTTGCCTCAGGGCATGTGCGATTGCTGGAGAGAGACGGAGACAGTGAGAAGTGAGAAATTACCCCCTCCCCGGGTAATTTGGCCATGCCACAATCCCTTTTTCCTCCCAGGATCTTGGGCATGCACATGCATGTACATATGTGTGAGTTTCAAGCCACCAGGTCCAGGACTCGAACCTCAGTTGGCCATGTGGGAGTCCAGTGAAACAACCACTACGCCATCTGCTGGCCCCAGCACGTTTATTCTTAACGCTGGTGCTTTAGCAAAAACTTGATGGAAAGATTAAAAGAAACTATTTGTTGACTTTCTAATAAGATTTTTAAAACTTATTCTGTTTTAACTGTGATGTTACTTGATGCAGGAAGAACACCATCAGCAATATTCCACGTATCCACCAAGTTAAGAAACAGAAGTTTGGGAAAAGAAAAAATGGCGTGTTTAGGAAATGAAGCAGTGAATAGAATAGGAGGAAAAAATTCTTCTTTAATAGCTGAACAAAGAAACGAGAAAGAGGAAAAAAATGAGAAAGGTGTTTAAAGAGGCAGGGTATGAGTATGTTTCAAGGAGAGTATATGGGAAAGTGAGCTCTGAGCAGGGAAGGGTAGGGAGAGGGAGGAGCTCGTGGGCTGCCAGCAGTGCGTCAGACAGTTCCCTGCAACTGGCAGAGCCTGGTTTTATGGTTAGGACAGTTTACTGACCAGGTGAATAAAAAAAATACAACTGTTTTAATTTCTATTTCTGATAATGTCTATACTGGTTGACCATCCCTAATCCAAAATCCAAGATGCTCCAAAATCTAAAACTTTTTTTTAAGAGCTATTTTTGCTATAGGGTATGTGCGCTTGCCAGAAAAAGACAGAATGCAAGAAATTAGCCCCCCACCCCACCCCCAGAGGGAAGGCCACACTGCAATCCCTTCTACCTCATTCTCCTCTCGGGATTTTGGGCACGTACACACACGTGCCCGGCGTGAGTTTTAAGCTGCTGTGTCTGGGATTCAAACCACAGTTGACTATATGGGAGTTCAGCAACATAACAGTCTACAAAAGCTAAAACTTTTTGAGCACTGATACAAGAGGAAAATCCATGCCTATGGAATTTGATATAATGGGTCACTGTCCAAAGACTCCAATAGAGAAATACTGTAAAAATTAGCTTTGGGCTATGGGAGTAACGTGTATCTGAAATGTAAACAAGTTTCATGTCTAGACTTTCATTATCAAGATAGCACATGATACATATGCAATATTCCAAAATCCGAAAAACTAAATCTGAAATCTGAAACATTTCTGGTTCCAAGCATTTTGGATATGGGATGCTCAACCTGTCCTTTGCTATGTCTAAGCCATAGGGAAGATCACAGTTCGGTCAGCAAGTATTTGTGGGGCATAAGTACACCCTCAGCCCTAGGTGTACACTGGGAGTCAGGATGTGTTAGACAGTGTTGAGGGGTTGGTCTCTGCACTCAAGGTAATTTTTTCTCCCCAGTGAATTACCTCTTTAGGAAAAACCATACTAACCCTTTCCCATAAGACCCACAGAACAGGAATTTATGCCTTTTCAGAAGCGTTGAGGGAAGACTGCTGTCCCTTCTTCAATTCCTACCCCACGTGTTCCTGAAGGACAAGGAGTGATTACTTGTGTGTGACCTGGTGTCCCCTCAGCCCACTCTAGCTTCCTGCCATGTCCCCCTGTCCTCTCATGCTCTCCTCCTTACGGGACAGGGTGCTGACTCTGTGTGAGGTACGGCCTGCCGTTGTCCTGCTGCTGGAACTGGGACTAAGTGTGAGGTTTGCTCGGGGTGGCGGAGGCAGCAGAAAGCCCATGTGAGTTGGGTGTCTGGGCCACATTCTTCAACCTAGCTTTATCTACAACAAAACTGAAGTGAAGAGCCATATTTGACTATTTCTCAATTGGTTTTGATCTCTTGTGTCGTCGGAAAAGTCATGATGTATTTTTCTAAGTTTTTCTATGTGAAACCGCATCATGACTTTTCTGATGACACAATAGAAGCGGTTCAATCAACTGTCCCTCATATATACAACACGCGCTCATACACACAATTGTGCACATAAAGCCATGTACCATGACCGAAAGAAAACAGGACTGAGTTTTCTGAGACCTGAGTCAGGGAACTGACTCTTTTTTTTAAAGAATTATTTTGTTTGTTTGTTTGTTTATGTTAATTAGACCAGAGAGGAACAGAGAGAGAGAGAAAGAAGGGGAAAGTGGAAAAGTAAGCCACCAGGTCCAGAACTTGAAGCACAGTTGGCCATGTGGGAGTTCAGCGCCCTTCACCACCACACCATCTGCTGGCCCCCCTGACTCCTTTATTTACTAGCTGTATGGTTTCTTTCCCTCTCTCCCTTTCTCTCTCTCTTTTCCTAATTTCCAGAGGGCACATGTGCTCCCCAGAGAGAGAGAAAGATAAAGAGAGAAAGTACCCCCGTAGAGCACTGTCAGGCTACAATTCCTCTTCCTCCATCCCTCCGTTGGTCAGGATTTGGAGCATGCATCCATAGTGTGTCCAGCATGGCTTTCAAGCTGCTATGGCCAGGATTCCAAACACAGTAAGCCATGTGGGAGCCAGCTCCCAAAGCACAGAGCTTAATCACTGTGCTACAGGGCCAGCCCAAGCTGTATGATTTCTGCCATTTTCTCCCCTGTAAAAATGAGGATGATAATCCCTGCCCCATCTACCGCAAACAGTTGTTGGAAGTCAAACTAAGATCCTGCCCCTAATGGATGGATTATAAAGGTCTATAAAATATAAGGCATTATTATAATAGGGTTTATGAAAAAAACTCCTGAACTAGGACCCAAATATGTTCACACATCAGGCTCTAAGTTGCCAGAAGATATTATATAAACATGGATCTTCTCCCTGGGGTACACTGCAGTTCACACACACACACACACACACACACACAGTTCACATAGCACCTGCTCAACCTGTATCTCTTCCTCTGTCAAAAATGTCAAGATGCCACCGTCGCAGGAGGGTGAACTTACAGAACAGTATCTACCTCATCCCAGAGACTCACTAAGAGTGGCAAAACAATTTAGTTTTTTTCCCCAAAGCATTATTTTATTTCACTTTATTTATTTATCATTATTTTCCAGTTTGATCAGAGAGAGACAGAGAAGGAGAGAGAAGGAAATGAGAAAGCAAGCCACCAGGTCCAGGATTCGAAGTGCGGTCAGCCACGCCAGAGTCCAGTGCCCTTAACCACTATGCCACCTGCTGGCCCCAAAACAATTTTGTTTTAAGAAGTAGGTGGCTTGAGATGCTCATAGGCTGACTCGCTAACCTGCAGATTACAGATCATGCTGACCTTTCTGCTTTCTCTCCTTACCCTTCTGATGTCTCTGTCCATCAACAACCCAACCTGCAGCAGACAGGGCCAAAGGAAGAAAGGTGAGTGGGCCTGGGTATCTGGTGCTCCAGACCAACAACCATCCACACTACCAACTCACACAGGGAAAGAAACGGGCATCTGGGCCGTAGACCCAGAGCCACAGCGTGAAACATCCAGAAAGCAACTTTGCTACTGTGACACTCTGTGGCAGCCTAGCTTGTGGGTGTCGGTCTGACCTTGCTGGCTCAGAGCCGCGATTTCAGGGCTGCTTTCTCACTAACCTATGGCCAGAACCGGAGGAGGGAGGGGAGCTCTGGAGCAATCGGTACAGAGGTTCCCCAGCTTTCAGAGGTTCCCCAGCTTTCTTACGAGACAGCCACGCACACCACCTTCAGAGTGGCGATCCATCCAGGGGCAAGTGCAGGCGGTGACTCCATGACAAGGAACTGCATCATGTGTGCGGAGCATGGAGGAAGGTCACCAAAGCCATATTTGTGAGGTCCAAAAATGCTCCCTAGAGGAAGTGACATCTAAACCTAAGGCCTAAGCAATGCTTAGGATCATGAGCTTATTAGCAAAGTGCTTGGTTGTCCAGGCAGATGAACTATCACTGCATAAAAGCCTAAAGACTATGGAGGGGTGATCACTGGAGAATCATTATGAGGCCAGCTAGAACTAGACAGAACAGCTGGGGATGAGGTAAATGAGAAGAGCACGCCAGGCCCAAGTCACTTGGAGCAACTTCAACCTCAGGACAGTGTCCAGCCATGGAAGGGTTCTCGCTAGGAAATACATGATCAGATTTGACTATTAGAAGAATCACTCAAAGACGGAAAAAGGAAGAAAAAGAATCGCCCTGGCCACAGTGTGGAGATGAGGGTGCAAGGGACAGGATTGAGGAGGGGAGGTTAAAAAGATAAGGCAATAATCAGGAAATTGAGAGACTGGACTAAGAGCAGCGCGTTAGAATGGAGAGAAATGGATAGATGTGAGTGAGGTAAGGGAAGCCAATATTGATTAGAAGCCATTTTGGAGGCTTCCTCTACTGTGTCCCACTGTCAAAACTTCTTTTTGTCATCCCATGAGGTGGAAATATTAAGAGTGACAGTCAGTTTTCTAGTTTAAAAACAACCGAAAGTAGAGTGCTACATTCACCGAACGAGAGAACAGAGGTTAGGCAGGGTTGGAAGCAAGGGCAGGGGCAGGATGGGGAGCTGGTTCAGTTTCG